TGCTGATAGTGTTATCTGTGACTTTGAAACAGTAACTTATTGTTTTTTCCCGTCATGATTTCACGTAAGTAGCAGAAATTGTTGAATAAATCTAAACAATATTATATTATTACTAGATGATGTTAAGCTGCCTGATCACTGCTTAGTTGCTTTTAAAATTATGAGTATTTTTAAACACTAAGTCATGTGAGTCAGATGCTTAACCACATTGTTTTGTAATGGCGTCAAATGGAGCAAAGTAGCTACAGACATGGTGGAGGAAAAGTGTCCATAGACATGGTAGGGGTGAAGTGACCATAGGCATGGCGGGGGGGGGGAAGTGACCATAGACATGGTGGGAGTGAAGTGGCCATAGACATGGTGGAGCAAAGTGGCAATAGTTATGGTGGGGACAAGTGGCCATGGGATGGTGGAGCAAAGTCGCAATGAAAGTGGTGGGGTAGAACAGCCATGTGAAGATGGTGGAGCAAAGTGGTAATTTACGATTACCATTACGATTAGTGGTAATTACGTTATAACGGTCGATAACGTACTTTAAATATTGGAGTTGATATTTAAAAAGACGCTTTGGTTGTGATGAATAAATGATAAATCAGAGCGAAAATATCCTTTTCACCTTTTTTTTAAAAGTATTTATACAGTAGTAAACAAAGATACTTTACTGAATTTTTGCATAAATACTTTAAATGCTTCTAAATGTACTTTAAAATGTATTCTTTTGATAATGTATATTATTTATATTGTGTTATATGTATTAAACAGAATACTCTTGTTTTGCAACGTGGAAAATTGAAAGTTTGAAAATAAAATAAAAACTTTAGTAAAACATTTTTTAAAAAAATACTGCAGGAATTGGAACTTACTTGGTTGTACTTAATATTGATATACCCTGCTGACCATTAAAATTGCTGCACCAGGAAGGAAGGTATAAAACTGAATATTTATTAGCCAGATGGGGAATAGTATTTACTGGATATATGGGGATAGTGGGAAGAGCAAGTGGTCAATTTTTCTTAAAAAAAAGTAGGGCGCTTAGAAAAAAGTAGCGCTTAGATAAAAGTAGTTTTAAATAAAAGTAGCTCTTTGGTTTAAGTAACAGTATTTATCCGCTGTATCAAAGAGTCAAATAGAGATTGTATGGTATTTTCGTGAACTTCAATCAATTCAGCTCCAAGACTATGCTACAGTTCGTTGACAGTAATAATTGGCGAGAACTGGTTCTCCAATCAAATGATCATTATTGAATACACGTTTAATATTCTTCAAAGATCAAGGGAATGGTTTCAAGTGGAATAGTTCAAAGATCAGGAGAACTGCTGCCCACGGGAATTCAAATATGCTTTATTGGGGAACTGTTTTAATGGGTAATATGTTTTATTAGGGAATTTCAGCCCACTAGAAGTCAAATAAGTTTTATTGGGGGAAATAAAAAAAGAGTACGGTCTGCTTAGAGTTTTGCAGTTTCTTGTTGAACATTAGAGAAGCTTAAAAGATAGGACAGACACATGGTGAATTAATACGCTTGAAGAATAATGTAAATTCCAGGAAAGCAAATATATATGTAATCGAAATAAGCACTCTATTCCATAATTGCTGGTGGTTTGCTAATCTGACGATGTTGCATGCAAGTTTTCAACTTACGTTGGCCACCATTTCGCCGAACACGGTTGCAGCTATCACGATTCAGAACAGGGATTCGTCAATAGATGACGAGTCCTAATTCCTGTTTTCTGGTCGGTTGTTGATTTCCTTTTTGAGGGCGCTCCGGTCTGTGGTACTCTGTCTAGGGTAGCAGAAACTACGTTTGTCGCGCTAACAGCTCATACAACTGCAAGCGTTGTCCAACTGGTCTAGCGCATAAGCTTTCTGTCTCACAGACAAATCAATTTAGTAATATGGTTGTGCGATCCATTGTGTCTGTGTGGATATATATATGTCTTCTAAACTATTAGTTGTGAGGAGTAGCATTCTATATTTTGTGGTCAGTTAAAGAATCTCGGCCAGCACGAGTAGCAACATTGCGGTATCATAACTGCAACACCAAAGCACCAACAGGCTGTAATCCTTCTGAAATTAAGAGCAGACGCGCATACTAAGGATTGCATCTTTTTTAGTCGAAAATAGCGTTCAAATGCAAATTTAAGTGCAAATTGCCTCAAAACCTAAGGTTTTATAAGAATTATAGGCGTCAATAGTGCTGCCTGCTTTGCAAGAATGTGCTGAAAATCAAATCTTCTGCATGTCATGCCTTATTTGTTTTGATTATGATATATGCTTTATTTGTCTTGCAAATTTTAACAAGGTTGCGTACCGCCTTCTTGGTGCAACAATTTTATTGACCAGGAGTGTATGTATTAATGATTTAGCTGTTTGAAAGAAATTCTTGGTTATTTAGACTCAACGCACTATGGTAAGCTATTGAAACTGTTCATTAAATTATTATTTTTAACCACAGCTATTTTGTTTTACATAGAAGGAATTAAAAATATAGAACAAAAAGACTGGTATGGTTAATATACTAAGTACATTTTTTTTCCTGTAAATCTAGTATTTTTGCAGAGTTAGGCATTATTGTTTAATTTCTATGATGAATACAAAATATTTTCGTGTTTATTTAGTTCCATTGCAAATTGGTAAGTTCTAAAAACTACTTCATTAAACTATTAGTTTTTATCGATGTAATTTTTAATCGTTGGGGGAAGTGAGTTGTTCCTAGAATCAATTTTAACTTTTTATTTTTTGCCGATATTAATCATTCAAATAGTTTGTTGGAATTGCATTGCAATTATTTCCCAATAATATAATTTGTTTTAGGAACAAATTCGGTCATACACAGAATTTTTTTTAATGTAAGGAAAATTAGTTTGAAAACTAAAGGATTTACTTTTTCCAAAAAAAATTACTCAGCAAGAAAAAAATTAAAGCAAAATTCTTTGGCACATGACTGGAAAATCTGAAATTGTCAACAATACAGCAGCTAGTACTTGTTGTTACTTGTATTAGCTACATGTAATTAATGCAAAATTCGTTCACCAGATGTCACAAACAGTTATATTAGTCCGACATACATGCAAACCAAAGTAAGACAAACACTGTCGCCATTTTTTTTTTGGATGATTACTTCGCTTATTCAGAACACATAAGAAATATAAAAATGAAGAAGACTAAATTAGATAGTATAAATAACATTCATTTTTCGGTACCACAGTATTTTTAAGCCTCTAGACTTGATTAATTTGTAAAATTAATATGAAAAAGTTTAATTTTATACAATTTGAAGATTATAAAATTTTATTTTTCTTAAGTTCAACCGAGTCAAGGTAAGTTATTAAAACAAATTACTTTAATTGCTATCTTAAGTCATTAAGTCATCAAAAAAAAAATTAACTCAATATATTTTCCCTCTCACTCTTCTGTTTTTTATATAAATACATAATAAATCTAAAAAATAGAAGACTGAGAAAGAAAATGTTATGCGTTAATTTTTTTCTTCAATTACTCTACAGGATGTGGCAAAAAAAAAACAAAACAGAACAAACAATTTTTGTATGTAACTTTATTAAAAATAAATGAATTAACAAAATATAATAAAATATTAATAGGAGTAGCATTTTTCTAAAAAATAAATTTAATTGTTTTCAAGGAACCCGTCTTTTGCAGCGATGCATAGGAGCAAGTGCTTACAGAATTTTAAAGCAATGGGTCGTAAATCTCCCACCTATAACTTATCCCATTCCAACCGAAATTATTGCTTTAGAGAGTCACAGTCTTACGTGATTTAGTGCGGACACTAGATTTCAAAATATATTATACACTGTAATCCACGGAATTGAGATCTGGCGAGTAGCGTGGCCATTCTAAACATGCATTGAAATGTGCCTAGCACCATTTTTGCTTCTTTTTGGCTTTGTGTGTTGGAGCGAAGTATTTTTCAAACGTCTAGTTTATATTGCCGAAGGGTTTTTAGGGTCACGGAAGTGCAGCAGCATCTAGAATGTACACTTTTTGATTTATTTCACCGCCCTCATATATAGAAATCACACGTGTTTTGCCATTTGCGAAAATTCTGCTCCAGACCATGACCGACTTTAGATTTTGCGATGTTCAACAATTCTTCGGGTGCTTAGAGCGTCTACAGTCCGAAGAATACAGAGAGAAGAAGTCTAGCTCTGCGAATGCGTAACGAACGAAGGGAACTGCTCCAGCGAGGTACGCTATGTCAGAAAAATAACTTCCAGGGTAAGTAACTTACTCATATTTAGCAAAACATCATATGTACTGAGATCCAGCGCATGCGCATAAGAAGCAAAGTCAGGAGGTACGTCCCCGGTTAACTAATCGTAGGACAACTCTACAAGTATGGTTACACTGCCTCGTGCCAATCTCCATTTCATTCCTTTTTTCTATGTCGAAATATGTTAGCAAGTTATATCAACATGGATTATATAAATGTATTCTTAAGGAAATATCTTAATAGTACATATATATCAATATCACATTAGTAGTGTAAAAATGCAGAACAAACCAACAATAAATAAAAAGAAAAAACTTTTCTTTTCCTAACCAACCCCAGTAGGGAATGGAGGGGGGGGGGAGAGAAGGTGGTAAATCGGTTACAAGAACCTATGCGGTTGTCACCTAAATGTTGTTTCACAGGGACCGCTTGGGGGACTGATCCTATTGTCAGATCCTATTGCTCTTATCATGAGTTGGTTGGACGGTAAGGAGCTTCTTATCAGTAAGAATGAATTTGTCTCTGCCCTGTCCTACGGCCAATTGCTGAAAATTTCTTCAAGTGTTTGCTTCTCTGACTCAATCTTAAAGGCGACTATTAAAACTAATTAAATTTCTTAATTAGTAAAAGCTTACTCTAATTATTATTAATAATATTTTGTTAAATTTATTTTTAATGAAGTTATATGAAAAAAAATGTTTATAGAAGCTTTTTTGCCGCACTCTGTAGTATTTTGTCTTATCTAGAAACTAATATTTCAGATTAATACAATTTTTCATTTATGCATTTATTTATTTTATTACCAGCAAGTAATCAAGGTAAGATAAAAAATCTACTTCATTAAACTTCTACATTTATCAATACAATGTATATCTAGAATAAATATAAAAGTATACAAATGACCGGGATATATATATATATATATATATATATATATATATATATANTGATAGTATCATCACACCCTTGTCTTCTGGAATGAATCAAAAATTGCAAAACTACGAAGTTGAATATTGGTAGTCGTAAACTCAAAAATCGTAAACTCAAAAAAATTATAAAATAAAATAAAAATGTCTTAATCAAAGTGCATAACATTTCCCACTTTGCCTAAAAGCGCACTGTATACAATGCATGCATTCCTTACATAATCGGTAACATAGTTAAAAATAAGAATGATTGAGAACAGTAGTTCAATGAAATATGTTTGATAACTCACCTCTATGTGCCGGAGCTATAAAAAATTTAATAGTTTTCTGAATTCATTTTTGAAAATTAATGAAGTCTTAGATGTCTAAGAATGCTAGTATAAATGAAACATTGAACAAAATATATATTGTCGTTCCTAGTCTTCTTTATATTTCTTATTTTTTCTGCATAAACAGTTAATTAATAATTAAATAATGGTAGTTACTGAAACAGTTTAAGTAAGTTTCAGTAACTACCATTATTTAATTATTAATTAACTGTTTATGCAGAAAAAATAAGAAATATAAAGAAGACTAGGAACGACAATATATATTTTGTTCAATGTTTCATTTATACTAGCATTCTTAGACATCTACGACTTCATTAATTTTCAAAAATGAATTCAGAAAACTATTAAATTTTTTATAGCTCCGGCACATAGAGGTGAGTTATCAAACATATTTCATTGAACTACTGTTCTCAATCATTCTTATTTTTAACTATGTTACCGATTATGTAAGGAATGCATGCATTGTATACAGTGCGCTTTTAGGCAAAGTGTGAAATGTTATGCACTTTGATTAAGACATTTTTATTTTATTTTATAACCGTCGTAACAGCCGACCCGATTTTTGAGTTTACGACTACCAATATTCAACTTCGTAGTTTTGCAATTTTTGATTCATTCCAGAAGACAAGGGTGTGGTGATACTATCACAATACCCTCAAGTTTTAACTTTTGGCATTCGTCTAAATTTATAATGTCACTTTTGTGACGGTGCCTTGCTTCTAGTTTATTTTAACTGCGACCGTGAGCTTTGCTAAGCCGATTGCCCGGATGGACGCTCACATTCGATTTGTGTTGTTGCTCGAATTACGAGAGCGGGAACCTTCAAGATTCACTTTCCTTCTCTGCATGCTCAGGGGATAAAAGCTTACTCGCTATTTCTAATTATTTATATGTTACTGAAATTGCGCCTTTATGCGAATTTAGTAATTCGAATAGATTTACCAATTTTATGCATTGACTTGTGGAGATTAACAGCAGAGCATGCAGAGAAGGGGACACGTGTTATCTTCGAAGCGGCAGAGTGTTTTTATGGAGTAGTTCCAGTGCTTCATGAGCTATCATAGGGCCTTTAATTAGTGATGTTCCCATAAATAAAAGAAAGGTGATCCAGAAGATGTTAGTGTCATTCTTTTCATTTATGACCGAGAAGCCTGAAGTTTACTACACTATACCACGCGCCTGATGCAGACGATACAACAAAGAGAACTCTTGGATCAAGTATTGGGAGAAATTTGCCTACGTAGAGGACTTTTTGATGGAATTAACCCGCATTTGCTTCACATGAAGAGGAAAAAATGACGAATGTCTTCTGTAGTTAGCTTGACAGCAAAGTACTCTAACCCACGATTCGTCTACCACTGAGCATAATTTACGTCAGCAGTGTGCGAGCAACTCGTATTTACCAGCCATTGCCGGGGTTCGAACCCGGGCCACCACATTGGGAGGCGAGCTCTCTATTCCCTGAGCCACCACGGCTTTTAACCAAGCATTGAATACAATACCTAGGCATTGGATAAAGAAGCAATTACTCTTTGAGGAAAGCATGAAATATGAGAGTAACAGAAAAAGAGTCAGTGCATTTTTTTTTTTTAGTTTCTCTTCTTAAGTATAACCGAGTTAGCGACGAAAAAAAGGAGAATAAAATTTCCAGTAAGGCAATTTTTTTTCCTGAAACACATATTTGCACATTCGCCGACATTTTTTTTTGTTTTCATTAACAATATATGATTGGAAAAACTTAAAATTAGGGATTACCTGGCAATGATCTTAAAACCTCAGAAAGCTTCAGTGTAGAGAATAGCGATCTATGGCCCTTCACATTAAAGAAAACTTAAGTGTAATGAATACCAGGCAATTACTTTTCGTGTTATACAGTTGCACTGGTCAAGTGTAAATCGAGAAAAGGATATTATATCCCAATCGCATTATAAACTCGGTTAATGCGGTTCTTAATAATACGGATGATTACTAAACATTTATGAGGCTATTACTAAACAGACGATTACTAAACAATTATGAGACTGCAATATTTAATATTGCCTTAGACAGAAATTCCGACAGATTTTGACAGATTCGATTCTTTAGACAGTTTTTGGAATCTATGCTACATCTAATTGCTTCTCTTGCAAGAAGGTCACAAGTTATTATAATGTATTGCAGTTCAGTGCAGAACACTATAATGTATAACGCACATAAATTAGTTTTTTTCTCTCGCACTATTATTTTTACGCAAACAGATATCAAATTTAAGTTAAGTAATGTGTTTTCTCTTATATGTTTAGGTCCAGTGCATCAAGGTAAGTTAATGAAATTACTTTTTCAATTGAAAAGAAAGAAATATAAAGTAACTCTTAGTATATAGTCGTTATAGTAAATTTCAGCTACACAATTATTCCAACACCTAATTAATTTCTTAAAATGAATACATAGAATAGTCTAACTACTTATAGATACTTTATATGGAGCATCATCCTATATTTTCACATATCTAGAAAATAAATTCAACATGAATGCTGAAATTTTATTCATACTTTTAGGTCCTATACATCAAAGCAAGTTATTAAATTATTTTAAATAGAATGAATAAAAAAAAACTATTAAGTACATCATTGTTTATATTGGTTATAGTGAATTTCAATCTAGACTTAATTTAAGATAAATACAGAAATCCATTCAACTAATTATAGTTATATAATATGGAGATTAATCATATTATAAAAGGGGGTTACAAGACCACTCTACAAACTATCAATACAATCTATTTTCAATCTATCTATAATCTCTACAAGGCATATCTGGAAAATAAATTTAAGATAAATGCTGAAATTGTTTCTTACTTATAGGTCAAGTACATCGAGGTAAGTTATTAAATAATTTTAAATAGAATAGAAAAAAATATTAAGTAAATCATTTTTTATAGTTTTTATAGTAAATTTCAATCTAGACTCAATTTAAGATAAATACTGAAATTTGTTCGACTAATTATAGTTACATCATATGGAGATTCATCTTATTATTTTTACATATCTAAAAAATAAATTTAATATAAATGCTGAAAATTTGTCATATTTTTCGGTAAGTTATAAAAATCATTTTTTATCATTGTTCATCAGGACGCATTCTTTTACGACAGAGAAAAGGACATTTCAAAATTAAGAATAATTATTCAACGATAAAACTCACAAAACTTACTCTTTATAATGCTTCAATGGCTCTGAAATATTTAAAAAATTAAATTTTAAAAATCAAAAATTAAATTTTAATAGACGAAAAAAAAGCAGAAAACAAACTTATCGATATGAAGTAAAATAAATTAAACATGTCTTAAAACTGGTTTTACTAATCTAACAGTTAATATACACCGAAGAGCCATTACACTATGACCACCCTGCTAATAACATGTAGGACTACCTTTAGAGCTCAAAACTGCTAGCACCCGACGTGGCATTAATTCCACAAGGGGCTGATAGGTAGTCTGAGGTATCTGGTACCAAGCGCTCGCCAATTCCCTCACCATCTGGTACCAAGCGGTCCTGAAATTCCCTCACATTGCGAAGGGGGTAGCGTGTCAGCACGAATTTGGTTTTCCAAGTAGGACCACAAATGCTCTATTGGATTAAGGTCAGGTGAATTTGGGGGCCAANGCTGATAGGTAGTCTGAGGTATCTGGTACCAAGCGCTCGCCAATTCCCTTACCATATGGTACCAAGCGGTCCTGAAATTCCCTCACTTTGCGAAGGGGGTAGCGTGTCAGCACGAATTTGGTTTTCCAACTAGGACCACAAATGCTCTATTGGATTAAGGTCAGGTGAATTTGGGGGCCAAGACATGATTTGAAAGTCGCTGGAATGTTCTTCGAACCAATCCATGACGATTCGACCCTTATGACATGATGCACTATCCTGTTGGTAAACACCATCACCAGCAGGAAAAATTGTTGCCATGAATGGATGAACCTGGTCTGAAACTATGTCCAAGTAGCTTACGGACGTCAGGAATTGTTCTATGAGGATTATGGGTCCTAATGTGCCCCATGTAAGCATTGTTCCTGGGCGAGAAACCACGAAAACCTGGGCAAGTCCATTGTTATAGATAGAGGGTGGTCATACTATAATGGCTCTTCGGTGTATATGGTAGAATAAAAATTAAGATTTTGCATTAAAATTCAATTAAAAAGCTAGAAAAATAATTCTGCGAAACACGCGCAGATAGGTAATTTACAAATTTATTTTAAGATTATGGCGATATATAAGATGTAAAGAAGTTTTAAGATCATTAAAAATGCTGACTACGTATTTTTATTAATATTCATAAAATACATATTCTAGAAATTGATAAATATATTATTCCGAATCTATGCATATGCGTGTATATTATTGAAATTGTATCAGTTATTGAAAAACAAAATCAAAAAATAAAAAATTATCACATTAAATTAGCACAATCTGGTGTATAACCATATTCCATCAGAAGCAAGCTTTTATGAAACTAGACATTCCTTGAATAAAGTGTTTTTTATTCAAAATGTTTTATTCAAATTTCTTTACTAAATTGCAAAAAAATAATTAAACGACTAAAAAGGAAACATCGTATTTTATAGCTTGAAAGAAATAAAAATAAAAAGATTAGCAAACGATTATTAGCAACAAAAAAAATATTAATGAAATTGCGCGAAGTCACTTGACTACGCGCGCGAAGTCAAGTTTCTCGCAAGTTGGTCACATTTTAATATTAATCGCCCCATTTAAGTATTTTTTCATTGTCGCCAAATTATTTTTTTAAAAATAATTAATTTTAATTTTTCTCAGCTCCTCAAAACTGCTAGCACCCGCCGTGGCATTGATTCCACAAGGTGCTGATAGGTAGTCTGAGGTATCTGGCTCTCGCCAACTGGTCCTGCAATTCCTTCACATTGCGAAGGGGTAGCGTGGCAGCACGAATTTGGTTTTCCAAGTAGGACCACAAATGCTCTGTTGGACTAAGGTCAGGTGAATTTGGGGGCCAAGACATGACTTGAAAGTCACTGGAATGTTCCTGGAACCAATCCGTGATGATTCGACCAATATAAAATGGTACATTATCCTGTTGGTAAACACTATCCCCCGTAGGAAAAACTGTTGCATGAATGGGTGAACCTGGGCTGCAACTATGTTCAAGTAGCTTACAGACGTCAGGGATTGTTCTATGAGGATTATGGGTCCTAATGTGCCCCATGAAAGCATTGTTCCTGGACGAGAAACCATGAAAACCTGGGCGAGATAGAAGGTGGTAATAATGTAATGGCTCTTTGGTGTATATGTTACCAGCGAAGTATGAAACGCCGGCATTGTATAAAATGCTTAGGCATTGTATAGAATGCCGAATGTTTTTAGGCAAAGTCTGAAATGTGAGAATTATTACATACTTTCCCAAGGCATTGTATATAATGCCTACGTATTCTGTGGAATGACAAATGCTATTTAGGCAAAGTATGAAACAAACGTCCTGATGAGGTTATTATGTAAATGATGTGCATGTTACTGTGAATGACCGAAATCGGTGGTTGTTGACTTTCACCGGTGAATGTTGACAATCACATAGTCGCTTTGGTGAATGTCCGAAATATTTATTACATCCAATTTGATGTTAATTTATTCGTGGATATAATTACATTTATTCGATATTTTAATACTTACTAACGATAGATTAGAAGAAACATCAGTGTTTGGAGTATCGGGCAAATATATACCGGGCAATGACACTTGACCCTAAAAAAACATCAGTGTAGGGTATAAAGGGCAAATGTATTCCGGGCAGTGGCACTGAACCTTAAAAAACAACAGTGTAGGGAATACCGGGCAAATGTATACCAGGCAATAGCACTTAACTAGTCCTCAAATATATTTCGGACATTTACCAAGGGTCTAGTCATACTAGGCTCAGTTAAGTGCCTTTGCCCGGTATACCCTGCACTGATGTATTTTTAAGGTCAAGTGCCCGGTATACATTTGCCCGATACTCCAAACACTGATGTTTCTTCTAATCTATCGTCAGTAAGTATTAAAATATCGAATAAATGTTATCTATCGTTAGTAAATATCAAAATATCGAATAAATGTAATTATATTCACGAATAAATTAATATCAAATCGTGTGTAATAAATATTTCGGACATTCACCAAAGCGACTATATGATTGTCAACATTCACCGGTGAAAGTCAACAACCACCGATTTTGGTCATTCACAGTATCATGCACATCATTTACATAATAACCTCATCAGGACGTTTGTTTCATACTTTGCCTAAATAGCATTTGGCAATCTATAGAATACCTAGGCAATGTGTGAAATATAAATCATTTCAAACTTTGCCGGCTAATTTTCAGCATTCTATACAATGCCTAGTCATTCTATACAATGCCGGATTTCATACTTTGCCGGTAATATATATAACTGCGAGTATTTCATTATACTAATATTTTTATACGGAATAACTGAGGAATGCACAAAAAAAAGTGACTGGAGTATATGAAATTAATACCTTTTGTTAATTTTTTCAATCACTCTAACCATTCTTTCACATCTGGGTAATATTAATGTTTTAAAGATTAATGCAAATTATTTTAACTTTTATTTAGGTCCAGTGCATCGAAGTAAGTTAGAAATTTTTATTTTAAACTACCATATTTGAACTTTACCATCTACATGTGATATCTCTTCAGAACTAGATCCTGATTTAAAATATTTTTTAAAAATACTTAGTTACTAATTAAAAAATTGCAAGTATTTCCATGTATACATTATACTATCATATAAATAAAATAACAATGACATTTTTTTAAAAAAGTAGCAGTTATTTACTTTTAATGTTCAGGCATGGTGCTAATTAAAATTAATTATTAACAACATATAAAACCAGTTGACATGCTGAAAAATATGTGTGCGGTACATTTATTTATTATTATGCATGTGCCCTCTCAGGGTTTAACCAGAAAATAGTATATGAAAATATTTAAATATTAATATTCTTTGTTTGTAAAAATAATTTAGCACGTGTGTATTTCAATAATAACAATTTGATTAAATATATATATAACCAATAATGTTTTTCAAAAGATATATATTTTAAACAAATATATGAAAGAATACACATCTATTATAAAAAATCATAAATATCGCATTCTTTAAATTAAATATGATATGATCTCAAAAGGAGAAGAACCAATTCTAGTGTTCTATAGATTTTTTTAAATTTAATAGAGTAACTCAGTAATTTAATTAAGTAATTTGAGTAATTTAAATAAGCTGCCATCACCGCACTTTCCTGTTCACTGGTAAACAATCAATGATCAATCAGTTAGATTGCAACCAATAGCAAATACGTCTCGATTAGGCTGGGAATACATATCGTCCAATAGGAATAGTGCAAATGGATAGTTGCCATTCACAAAATTACGACACTTGATTGATTTATTCCACTCAAGGATGTAGTTCAGCATCAGGTTTGGACATCTGTATATTAAACAATTTATTTTTAGCCATATCTTCCGATCAACAAAATATTTATCTCTATATCCATCTATCTTTACATATGTTAGTAATTATAGCGTTAAATTTAAGAATATTAAATTCACCCAGTCCATGATTCAGTGTAGTTTCAATACGAAACGTGAAAAACGCTTTTAAGTTTTTGAAATATAAAATTAATAACATTTAAAAAACGAAATATTTTTAATATACTGGATTTCCTGGGAGTGAAAGTGAGGATAGTGGTTTCAAGCGCTGAAGGGTTGGTCTTAAAGAACGGTAAAACTGTTAGTGATAGATATTAATTTGAGAAAAAAAAATAGCTGTACATTTTAAATATTTGTAAAGATTTCTCCTAGTTGACATTTTTAATTAAAACTATAAATTCTGATATTAATTTATACGGATAAATATAATTGATATAATTGAATTGAATAAAATTGATTCTAACTTTTATCGCAGAACACTTTACTGGTTAAAAAGGTAAGGTAAATCGTAAAATATGCTGAAACAAACGTTTAACTGCATGAAACTGAAGACAATCAAACTTGCATTAAGGATTTACTAAGTGTAGCTCTAATGTTAGCAACTATTAAAACATATTAGCAACAAAATCATTAGAACTACCAGTAAAACATACAACGAAAATTACGAATACAATCGTTTAAAAAATCCAGACAAATGTGGCTTCAGTAGCAGCCTGTTCTAGTTTTACTTATTTCCGCTTGACGGCAGCACCTACTTGACACCAAAGAAAAAAAAAATCATTTCCAGTACCCTGTTGTACCGGGTTCAACTATGAAATGAATAAATGACGTACAAAGAATATTGGGATGGATAATGTATGTAGCTTCCATTTTTATTCCTATACAGCTAAATTAAGATAAGCACAAAGAAGTTTCTATCGTTATTTAGATCCAGATATTATTATTCTTTTGTTTTTAATTGCTAATTCTTTGTAAATATAAGATATATAAAAAACGTAATGTAATCTAGAACAGGATGATATTTTACATTTCGTTCATTTCTCATTTATACAAATATTGCATATTATTAATATAAGTATAATACTGGTATATAATATAATATTTTAATTTAATGAAATTTTTGAGATAAATATGTGAAAATTTGAATGTACTTTTAGCTGCAATCCGTCATCGAAGTAGGTCATCACGAATTATTAAATCATTATTAATTTTATAATTATTAAATTATTATTAATTAATGGTAATAAATTACTATTTTTAATATTTTTCATTTTTAAGATGAATATATAATTACAAATATAAACTGAATATACAAATATAAACTGAAAACATATTAATGTATAATCGAATTCTAATGCCCTACTTTTAGTCATTATAGTATTTTTAACTGCAGTATTATTTAATTCCAGGACTTTCAGGTATATCATTTTGTTTATTTTAGAATACAACAATTTTACTCTTTTTGGTCATTATTTTCTAATATGTAGCGTAAATAAAATAAAATGTAAAACTGAGGTGTATAATACAAGGTCCTTCGTAATAAACGCTTTATATATATATATATA